ATTTTCCGGTGGCGAGGTTTATTTTAGTCCACTAGCCGTAATTTTAAAATTATTTAATTAATAGATCAGCTTCACTTCCGCCATCGCCTATGAAAAATTTCTTGGCTTATAGTTGGTGTCGTTAAACCGATGACTCATCATTTTACTCTAATCTTGCGGTATCGCCATCTACTATTAATTTGCCTTTGGTGATTTCGAAACTCTGCTAAATTAAACAATCATCTTGTTGAACGTTGAACTTTTGTGCCACTTTCAGGTCTTAAAAGACGGTTGAGTGTTTTTATTTTGTTGACTGGTGTATTTGTACTCAAAGATTTTATATGTCACGTAGCTATATAAAACTAAGTCTGGCATTTCGTATATTTTTTGAAACCCAAGCCTAACTGGTAACAAGCCCGGCTTGGTACCAATCCTGATTGTATCAATTCTCTAAGCCTAAGATTGTAACCTGTGCAAGCCTAAGCGAGGCGGATCTGCCGGTCAGAAAAATATTTCAGAATATGTTGATGTTTTCCTATATTTTACACAACTCGATGGACTAATCAGAATATTATCGGAATAACGTTTGCACTTTCTATCCTTATACTCGGGACCTTTTTAAACTTAATACTTCTAGATCACCATTTTGTTCTATTTTGTCTTAGCTTTATCAGTAATATGGTGTAGTATTGTACGTTCGAGTGAGTAAACTGCTACTCATTCTCCACAAACAAAGAAAAAACAGCGCAACAAGTGTTACCTAGTGAGCTCGCTTGTCGAAAAGTTTAGTGAGCCTCCTGCTGGAATTTATGTTTAGCGAATGGTACATGATTAGGGGTGTTAATTTAGTGTTACTTTGGAAAATAAATGTAAATGAATCATTTACACTTAAAAGATAAAGATAAATTCGTCATTTATATTTAAAACATAAATATAAATAAATCAGAAAAAAATTTATCTTTATTTTATAAATGAATCATTTACTTTTATAAAATAAAGATAAATTTTTTTCTGATTTATTTATATTTATTTTTTAAATATAAATGACGAATTTATCTTTATCTTTTAAGTGTAAATGATTCATTTACATTTATCCATTATTATAAATGAACAATAAAACTAAATTAACACCCCTATACATGATGCATCCAAACGATGAATAAATAACTTTTTACACGTTCTTAGCCGAAGGAGCAGCAGGATGGTGTTATCAATGTGATTCAAGAAATCCCCGATGTGGAGCACAAATGGATGCTTCAACGAGAACAGAAATGATGCCTTGCAGTGGTCAATGTTATACGTACATGAAAAAGAATGGTAAGTAGAGGTATCAGTGTATGTATACTAGTGTAGCGTAAGGAGTTTAAAAATGTTTAGTTTTGTACCGTGGCTGTTCATGGGAGCATGGTTTTATGTCACGGGAAACGATATACGGACCTGTTTATGCAAAAGATGGTGTTCTCTTTTCTGTGATACTCCATAGTAAGTTTTTTGAGTTTAAATTGATCTAACAATCTCTTGATTTATGTTTCAAACTTTTTTAGTTGCAACTCTGATGCTGGTGGTATAACAAAAGGTAGGTTTAAAGAAGTGATTCACGAATGCTGTCGCTTGGCATAGTCCTGCAGGGTAAGACTTTTCCCTACCCTAAGCTTTGCCAAAAATTTTCACATGATCTTTGCAAAACAGCGTTTTTTGGTGGAAATTTTTTGATAGAAACAATAGATTTCCATTAGAGCCTTATGCGTAGAAATCGCAGACTGTAGAAATCCTTGTGAAACACGAAACGTTTTAGGCTTGCTTATTCTCATCACACCTTAATCTTATCCCAGGAAATCTTTCTTAAATTTGCCGCTTGAGCTTTTCTGCGTCTCCGTTTCTCCATCCGGTTCACACCTTTTTACTTTTAATCATCTCTTAGTGTCTGTACCTCTTTATAATAATTTGTAATATAATACTTTGCAATTTCTGACTATCTGTGATGCCATTCAGTTGACTAAATAAATATAGATTAAACTAAATCTTTCTTGTCTATCCCACAAGGTAGGACTAAGTAATCCTGCAGAACTCGACCTATGGGTTCTCGGCCTCACAATATCTTTGCTTTTAGGCATTTGTGAGAACGATTTTTGCAGCAACTTACAATTTCCTGATGATTGTAAGATCTCAGGCATCGATTTAACATGTGCAAGCCAGTGTGGTAACTAATTTGCTAATGAATGCGACGGCAACTGATATAATCAATTAATCAACAAAAAATGTTTATATCAAAAAAAACAAAAATTTTTTTCTTTTTTTTTGCTGGTGTACTTTATATCTTATCACCAACAAAAGAATAAAACATATACTAGAAGGGAAATAAAATGTTATAAACTAGATCAAAAAACTGAAATTTGAGGTCACATAGTATGTGTGAATTTAATATCAGCCAGAATACCTGTCGAGGTGTCCTGAAGTCCCATGGGCGCTTCCAGCGTGCGTCCGGATTAACTTTGTTTCAACGATATACGCTGTTACAATCAAACAGTTCGAAAAGTCATGTTTCTGGTAGTGGCTGTCGTCAACAAGGCATAAAATTTGATAGATCTTATGCTGCTGCTAAGTTGCACAAAGCTGTAAAAACTTACTAATGTCACCATCGTTTTTTGATCGATCGATTGATTGATTGATCCAGTGGGTGAATGAGGAAAATTATGGAGAGATTGTGCTTATCATGTTAAGGAGCACTGAGCCTAAATCTTAGATAGAACACAATACTATCAGATCGTTCAGAAAAAATATCACACTGCCACAGCGTACAATACTTTCCATCACAGTGAGAATGTGACTATTGTCTCGTTTCCTTCTAGACCATTTATGAAGTATTTAGCTCCAAACGTGGCTCAGCACATTCCTGTTAGCAACATGGACCGTCATATAATTGAAAGCAAAGGAGCTGATAATTATTGGATGAAATTTTATATCACTCAAAATCTAGTATATATCGAAATCCCCAACGTGATCACGCATGCAAAGTCTTGGCGTAATCTTTGTTCTGCTTCTCTGTATCGACTCAGAAACGATTTACATTTTGTCACTTCTGTATATTAAAGTCTCAGACCAAAAGATTTTTGGTCTTAGGGGAGCCGTCAAAAATAAGTCTACACGTAGACGTAGACAACCAAATTTCGCTCAAAAAGGAAGCTTTTTCAAGGAAACGTGTTGGTACAAAGTAGTTCAGAAATAGATTTTCTGGAATATGACTGAAGGATTTTCGAGATTCGTTAGACTAGATTTTTGAAGTGAAAAATACGGTTTCTAAAATTGAATTTAAACATTTACTCTAACGAATTTTGAAAAACCCTTCGCTCATATTCCAGAGAATCTGATTCTGAACAATTTTTATATCAACACTGTTCCTTGAAAATACTTCCTTCGAGCAAAATTTTGTTCATGGTGCTTGTTTGATAGCAAGGTCAAATTTTGAATATTGGCCCATTTTTTAAAATCTTCCCTATCTGCTAGTCTTCCATCACAGAAAGCTAATTCAAGCGTAGAACGAAAGAAAAATATTCGGAAAATATAAATAGAACAAGAACAAGAAAAGGTTATTGTTCTTTTCATTTTTACGATTAATTATTGCTACTCTATAAAGTCAGATTTGTCCAATAACTATTCAACGTACAAAATCGAGCTATTTCCATAGAGCCTCAACAACGACTATCTTTTATTTTGTTTGAGATAAAGGTCGTTCAAGATATCAAAAACTGAAAAAGCATGTCAAAGATTGTATCTCGGTGGTTAGAGTATTTGTCTTGTTAATCAATGTACTTCTTCTGGTTATAGCATGAGTGTACCCACCACTAGCACTGGGTATGTTACAAACCCAAACCCAACCAAAGAATTGGGTTTGGGTTTGGACCAGAGTTGGATTTGGTATTGTGTTGGACTTGGGTTAATAAGAGCCTAGCAAGATGCTTGATTTCACGGTAATCCATGTGAAAACAGAATGTGCAGTGTTTTGCATCGTCCTGTGGATATATGTGTGCAAGACGGTAACGATAAGAACTTTCTTTAAATTAGGTGAAATGTCTAAAAAAGTTGAGTTCTTTTATGCTATTTATTTTGCGAAATTCACCGTTATTTTTCAGTGTCTTAAATACATGTACAGAACAGATTTCAGCTGACAGTACTTTCCCAAATTAAAAAGCCTTTATAAAAAGAACAGATTTTTGTTAGGGAAAATAAGGTCAATGAGAAGAAAGAGACAAATGAAACGTATGGAAGAAAGTCATCAAGTTACTACTGATAAGTTGCACTTGAAGAAGAAGAAGAAGAAGACGAAGAATGATCTTTTGACAACTGACCAAGGGCAAACCCAATACCCAAACCGAAGTCTATACACCCAAGTGGTTTGGGTTTGGGTTTGTAACATACCTAACTAGCACAAATAATTTATCTATATAGAAGAAAAAGCTCTTATATTGGGCTTGATTACATTATGAACAAAACAGAAGAATACGTTATTAATTTGATTGTTTGTTTCATCGTCATTTTTACTTGAGCTAGACAACTCAGATCTTTTTTTTTCGTTCACATAGTTCATCAAATCTGAATACTATATACTGGTATCTCTTCACAAAAAAAATATCTGATTATAAAAACACACAAAGAGTGATTATTTAGAATACATGAGAATGTTGTCTACAAAGGTCATAGAAAGGTCCATCTTCACAGTATTTATTCGTTTTTACAGAAGCATAGAGACTTTGTATGAATGATATTATTTCTTCATCTCTCTCCCTGTCTCTCTGAAAGAAGAAGAAAAATAAAGTAAAGAGAACAGTTTATACTAAATGACCTGTTATAAGAGAATAAATTTTCTGCATCACAAAACTATATATATATATAGTGAAGACTACAGACAGTATATCATTCAATCATCAATTTTATTTACCAGTCTTTTTCTTATCGGTACGTGTAGTAGTTTTCTTTCTACTTTTAAAACTTAATCATGTGCTTATTCCTTCTTAGATTTAAAGATGCGTTGTTCAACTTTATATTTGGTCATATTTTCATTAATAGTTATGCTATTATTGACTGTAACGAATGGGAAAAGTACAGAATCATTTGAAACAAATAGCACAGAGGCAAAAACATTTTTGTCTGATGTTGATGGGGAAATAAATAGATTTAAACGTGGTGATGATCAAAAAGATTCAAAACAATGTGTTTTATGTGCAGCTAAAATTGCTGACTGTTGTCATCCAAATTATTGTAAGAAGCATCACGTTCGTTTTAATGAATGTGTTGAAGTTAAAGGACCTAAGTGAAAATGACGGTGAAACAAACAATCAAATTAATAATGTGTTCTTTTTATTCATAATGTAATCTAGCCTAATATTAGAAATTTTTCTTGTATGAATTAATGAATTAAATAAATAAAATGACGTATATGAAATCATAATTCTGATTCTTAATTGACAATTTTAAATTTATTGTTTGTAATCGGATAGAATATTAAATTCTTCTTCCTCAAATTAAAACAATGATTTTTATGGATGAAGAAGATGAAAGATAATTAAAACGAAGCGCAACATTTTATTCATCGAACATGTTTTGTATATACTGAAAAGCAGAAATCAAGAGATATATTAGAATAAATATACCATGACATTCACTTAAAATTTACATCTTTTACTACAAGTCAATCAGATTTTGACTTTCTCTCATAGGAAAAAATCTGTTTTCTTTAAACTTTCTCATTTATTAGTTGAATAATATAAGTTTCTAGCAGCTTTAAATTTATTTTAGAATAAACATATCAGTATAACAATAGTATCGTTCAATATTTTAACAAACATTTCTGATCATGCGTAATAGGGAAAAAATGGATGAAAAAGATCGGCTGTTCTCTTTGCATTCTACAGATTGCCCCTATAAGAATGTTCATGCTTCTTTAGTGTATCGAATGACTTACGTTATTACAGAAAGAATGGACAAACACATCATTTCAATAAGAGAAAAAGTTTGTTGCCAGAAGAAACTGAAAAGACCTACCCAGGTCAAACAATCGTATTAAGATCATACAAGATCTTACAAGATCTTACAGATTATAAGATACCGTACGATTCTTACTGTAAGATCGTTTAAAATCTGATGAATTTCTTACTGTAAGATTTTGTATGATTCTTAATCTAAGACGCTAGTGGAAATCTTACAAGATTCCTTTAATAGCAA